ACTGGTCACTGAACTCTATGTGTGGGCTATTACCGGTATAGGGTAGGGCAGTTGGATCATTGGGATCTGAAAACCGGAGGTGCGCTATTATTCTTTGGGAGACATGCCAAATCCATCGGCTGTGGTGAGTTTAGACCTGAATGGGAATTCGCTTTGTTGGGTTAGTGGGTGACTGTCAAATTTTCCCCTACCGGTACACCAAGGGGGTGTGGAACCAACTTCAGTACTCGAGTACCGGTGTGGTGCGAGGAAGGTTTTAGGGGTTTTCTGGTCATGTTTGCTGGGTTTTTGCCCATAGAATTTTCTGTTTGGGATGAGGCTTAGCAGGTGGCTGTTTTTCACCTGGAGGCATGGCCTTGCCTTCCTCAGAGAGAGTGGAGGAACAAGACAGCGAGAACCCATCCTGTACAACCAATACCACCACCTTCTTTACTGTTGTTTCTGGGTGTCGTTTTCCCCACTCCTTTCGCTTGCTTTCTCACTGTGTTTTACTGTCAACTTTATCAGCATAAGTCTACACTCTTATCCGATCGAATATTACATTGTACGGTTACCACAATTGCACAGGTGTCAGCTCGGTCAATCACACCATCCAAAATCCGGAAGACAACCGAGACACTTCCACACCGGTAGTGACAAGCCAGCGGCTCGGGACAAAATTGGCCCACCATGAAGTGCTGAGAATTGTAGTTCTACCTTAGAATATGGCGCTCCTTCAAAGTAAGCTTCCTTTGCATAGGTATTCCCATTGGATGGGCTTGTGCGACATGGGTTCCTGTCCGATTGGGTACTGCGATACCATCCGCTCCCATGAAAAGGTCCGAGCTGCCACGAATTAGGTTGAAAGATGTGGGTTTGTGGAAGCATGGGGAGAGAGATGCTTGACGTGTTACGGTACTGAAAGGAACGGATCGGGGTCGGAAAACCAAACACACAGATTGGGTAAGCTTCACTCACTTACAAAACCAAACAGGTAATTGATACCTCACACAAGAAAAAAGAGTTCCGAAATTTTGTCCACACAGGTAAATTGATGCAAAGAAATGAAAGAACAACCAAAGAAGAATGATTGAACGTAGGTACAGGCTTTCGTGTTTGTTGTTTCCTCAAGTTCTTCTCCGCAGCTCTTGGTTGGGTTCGCCTCTTGTCTGAAGAGGGAGGAAGGAAAAAAATCCCTTTAGGTCCTCTCTGGTCCACAGCACACCACCATGGCCAGTTACAACCAAACCCTAACAGCTCAAAAAAACCTAACTCAACAATACAAAACCCAGAACTTAGGAGAAAAGAAAAAAATAAGGACAAACACACTTTTCACCCTCACAGTACTTCAAAATATACTACCGTATGATACGTTAGGCTCCCCGTACAATGTATTCTGAAGCTGAAAGAACTTTTCGAAAATCTGACAGCATACCATGCAATTTCCTGCAGACTTCTCCCTGATTACGATACCTACTCATAGATTATTCAAGAATTGCTGGTTACGAGTACTTTGTCATGCAATGTTGCAAGAACAGTGCCAAGCCCGGGTAGGACCACTTCCCACATACGGTAGAATTGTCTGGAAATGCGCCAAGGCCAATGCCGTATACCGGTACGAGTACTCGAGATACCGGCATGATGATGGGTTGGGGATTTTTAGTATCACCGGGTGGGGAAAATACCGGAGGGTGGGTATTGGTATCACGAGATAGATATTTCATGCGATAAAATTTCGTTCTGACCTCATTGCGACCTGGTTACGGTATGGCGTTTTGGTGTCGACCGGATATGCTGCTCCAAAGCAAGGTACTGGTAGAGTTTTTCGCCGCAAACCGCAAGGTTACGAGTACGGTACCGATGCTCGGGTATCGTGACCGAGATTATGGAGAAAGTGTGATATGGCAACTAGACGCGGGCTAAAGCGAGATCGGAACAACGGTATTTGCTTCTATCATATCGTGCCCGGAATTACATCAGCCTTTGCAAACTCCAGGGTCTCTGTTGTGAAAGCCCCCGGCATGCTGGCCCGCCACATATACAGTACGACTGCGATCGTACAGCACCACGCTGCCCGTCTTATAGGGATACATTATCACTCGACTAGCCATCCATCTGTCCCTGTGCCATATACAGACAACCTCTTGTCCGCTGCGGCCAAGCGCTCACTACCTTATCGAGAGGAAGAAGAAGAAGAAGAAGAAATGTCGCTTAGCTCCATCCGAAAGGTTAACCGCTACCTGAACTCTCGGTTGGTCCCACCCACGCGCAACCTCTCCACTCGACCGCAGGGAGGTCCCATTGCGCTGTGCCGGGCTCGGGCGAAAGGCCCCATCGACCTGGCCAGCCTGCTGCTGGCGAACAGGGTTGACACTGGTGTGTGGGACATACACGGGTGGACGGCCATCCGTTGGGCTGCTCTTGGCGAGGCCGATACTGCAAAGGAAGTTGTGGCGACGATTCTGGGGGAGAAACCTTCTCCCCTCGACCTGCTTGGCTATAATGACCAGCGCTCCCAGATTTGGGCGGCCAAACAGGGCCTCGTGGATATGATCGAGCTGCTTGTTGGCTCGAAGGCTAATGCCGGGACCAAGTGGCAGCTTGGCTTGTGGGCCGCGTATTATGCAATGGCGGTTGATGCAGCGAAGTCTCAGTCTGGCTCGTTGGCCGCGCTTTGTGCATTGGGAGCTGAAACTATGCGTCCCGGGGCTTCCCTGGGAGGTGGGGGATGCAACGAACGTAAGGATGTTGGTGATGATGCTATTTGAACTTTTGCTACTTTTCCTTTCCCTTTCCCTCTTCCGATCTATTAGGATCAGATTGGGGGTATGTTTAGGCGTCCCGTACTCAACTTCTCCGTGCCGGCGTTCACCGCTCATGTTGCTTCCTCAAAACATTATTGGGAGTTTGTTGGTATGCATCGTTTGGAATTTCAATGGTTTTGACACCTGTGAGAATGTTTCATAACACAATATATGCATGACGGGTTCTCGGGATCGGGTCATCTCGTACGGGCCAAGCTCTGTAAGTTCCTGCCGGAGTCGACACACTTGGTGCCGCAGCTGGTCTGACTGAAAATGAAGTTAAGGTACCGTATTATTGTGGCAGATGCTAGAACGCGACTGGTAAGGATTAACAGTAGTACTGTATCTCACGGGTACCGCAGCTAACACAAGGAATGCCCACGGCAGTACGTAAATCAATCAGGCTTATTCATTGATGCTAAGATGAGCCAGTTAAAGGCTACTATGGATTTTACCAGAGCCTAGAAAATGCCTTTCGAGCTTGGGGTGATATTTGTGCTGTGTAATGGGCTTATAGGTGTGAAGTCAAATTATCATCCCTTGGATGTCTCCATGAAAATGCTATTGCAGGTTATTACTTTTTCTATGATACGAGGGCTAATTGTCCCATTTGTTCTTGCCCTCTTAAAGCTAGATTCTTATTATACTCCCATTCTCTCCGCTGAGACTCTGAGACTCACGAGTGACCATTCATGAGGGCATTTAACCCCGATCCCATGTATAGTGACGGCCACAGCTCCCTCGATCCATACGAAAACAAGTGCCGCAGAGCGACCTCTGTCCTCCCTACCAATCCAACCTACATGATATAGGCTGCTTTCTCGCTAATTATCATACTTATTGAACGCTCCCTATCATCCTCTCAAGCCCCGCAAATATCCGGAAAAAAAAAAAAGCAAGTGAGTGGCCAATACAAGAGGGCCACTGCTCCAGCGGGTGATATGAGTTCGCTGAGGACCCCCGGGGATAGTGGAGCCTCATCGCTCTGCCAACTTAGGACTGGGGTCGTTACCAAATGCGAAGCCGACCAATCCCCCAATAATTCTTCCAATGAAACCCTCATTGCCCCGATAGCATTACTGTGGTCATCAGGATTTCGCGCGAGTCAATTTGGAGAGTCTCCAGTTTGATGAGCCTGAGAGGACTGATCCCGGAGGTGTGTGAATAAACTCTCTATCCGTTATATGTTTATTGAGAGTATTTGTTATATATACTATTTTTTTTGCTAAGAGTTTGTTTGGTTGGGGTGGGTGGAGTGGGAGACCAGGCAGGATTTTTCTTTCTTTCTATGATACCTGGCTCTTTGGATCTGGTTGTTGAACAGGTTTGCTATCGGATTTGGCGTAAGTGTCCACGCCTCCTTGGATAGGTTAAGCGGTGTGTGTGGAATGGTGCTGATCTGCGAGGAATGATTGGAGTGTTGAGGTGAAAGCTCAGAGAGGAGTGGGGATTGGTCATTGGACAGCCTAGTCTTACGCCATTTCGTAAGACGTGCTGTCCACTCCTTTGCTTCTAATTGCTGATCTCACCTAGCAGTTCAATGAATGGCGTCGGAAGCGAGTTATCGCGCAGGACTCTTCGATAATACCTGAAACTGTTCTCGCAGGGTGTTACTTGCTAATGGTAGTTGGATTGCTTCTTTCCTTGATATTTTCCCTCTCGCGTCAGTTCAACTACCATTGGATCGCCCTGCTCTGCTGGGATATGTGGTGATGGCACCATCAACTACCTTTGTGGCTGTATCAGGTTTGTTGAACACACTCACCCGGATTTGAGAGAAACCGGATGCTTATATTCTACAAACAGGCTACATTTTTCTCTGTTTTTAGACCCACGCGGCTACCTCTGCCGCATTCCTAAGCTTCCTCCGCGCTACAGTAGTGTTAGGCTTGCGGGCTCCCATACCTACTTATGGCGGGAGGGCCAGCACCGCCGCTGAAGAAGCTCGTGCGGTTTGGACTACGAGTGTCTGGGATGACACAGGTGTACGCCTCGAATTGTTGTCGGAGCCTGGCGGTGGCTCTAGGAGATAGTTAATAAATTCCAAACTGTGTTTGGGTATTTTCGTATCATGCAAAAGCAAAGTGATATCCAGAATGACCGACCCATCGAGTGATGACGAGTGATTGCCATGCTGAACCCCATGCCAAGACATGAGGCACTGACTGAATTTACCCAGCATGATAAGCGAAGTTATGAATAGTGCACTTTCTCGGTGACCCCTTCACTTGCGATGGCACAGGGCCTCTCCTGTTACCGGTAGAATCTCTCCCATGAGACTCACAGCACCGAAATATACCCCTTTCTCCCATGGTAACCCCTCGAATTCCGTATGTCCTCCCATTCCCGCCACCCCCAACTCACCCCAAGAACGCTACAACACTCACCGCCGCCATCGACGCAGTAACCAACTTTCTGGAATCACGCAATATCGTCATCCTTACGGGTGCCGGTGTTTCTGTCGAAAGTGGCCTGGCAGACTACCGTGGTGGGAGGGGAACCTACAGACTGAACCGGACATACCGGCCAATATTCTACGAGGAATTTGCGAGGAATCATGAAGCCCGGAAACGGTGCGGAAATATATTACATACCCCCCGCCCACTCATTCCCGAGAACCACCCCAAGTACTGTAGAGCTTGTGAACTGAGCCGTCTACGAGCAGATACTGGGCGCGGAGTTTCCTCGGGTGGCCGATAATGGAAAAAGCCAAGCCGAATAGAGCACACCTGTCTATTTCGATGCTGGGAAAGCTGGGGGTGCTGAATCATGTAATCACGCAAAGTCCTCATTCCACCCGCTCTGCAATTGTGGCCCCGGTGTCGTTCTGATGGAAGAGCCGCAGACGTTGACTCCCTCCACTACGCCTGTCACCCCCACCTGCGAACCACAGAGTTGCATGGCACTCTCCGAACGCTCACCTGCCTAACCTGCCGCTCTCCATACCCGCGCGCCGAATTTCAGAAAGCCCTCGCAGAGTTGAACCCCAAGTGGGCGGAATTTCTGCACACTGCTATAGAAGCCGGGATCTTCGACAATGATTATCGCCGGGAGGGGGGCATCAAGACGAACCCCGACGGCGATGTAGACGTTCCCGGGGCACCATATACGAAATTCCGCTACCCACCTTGCCCAACATGCCTCAATTCGGATGACATTAGGGTCCTGGTCGATGCGCAAGGCTCACATAAGCCGGACGGGCGGCTGGCAACAAACGGAGTGCTGAAGCCCTCTGTAACGTTCTTTGGGGAATCTGTAGCACCGGAGGCCAAAGCTGAAGCGGAGGAAATGGTAGATAAATGTGGAGGCATACTCGTCGTTGGGACTAGTTTAGCTACGTATTCTGCATATAGGCTCGCTAAGGCTTCACACGATGCTGGGAAGGATGTTGGGATCGTGAATTTGGGAGGGGTTAGAGGGGAGGATTTGTTTTTCTCGAGGGAGGCCAAAGGGAAGAGGCTTAGGGTCGATTTTGGTGTTGGTGATGTATTAGCGGGTGTTGTTATGAACTTGGGGGGCGAGGTGACTGAAGGAGTGGGAAGCGAAACTCCCCTTGGTGGGGGTGGAGCGGGACTCGGGGGGTAAAGAGGCAAGGAGTAGTACTCGTCTATATTCGCTATCGACAGATAATTTATATCTGCTAGGACCAAGCAATAGAAATGATGTTAGTATGGGGTTTAGTCTAGATTGCTGGATCCGGGTCGTAGTATCCGAGATTAGGACCGAGGGATGTCTCTAGAGCGTTAGAGTAAATGTAATGTGATGAGATTCTTCGCATAAAATTTGGCATTGGGTGGTCTCATTGTTTTATACCGGTAGACTAATATCTCAGCCATTGTGGTGAAACGCAGTAAATTACCGGTACCGCACAGCTGGTATGACATAATACGGTACCGGTACCTGAACACTGCGTGCAGGAATCAGAAGAACAAAGAGCGGTCGTATCATACCCGTGCCAGCATCAGGCTCAACAGCACCCTCCATGCAATCATGGTCTCCATCTCCGTTCTCGAGGTAAGCTCTCCCCAAAAGGCCGGTAAAAGTATGATATGATACTCCGAGAAGCTCTCGTGCCCGGATTAGACCAGTGGTATGGGGCAAAACCCGAGTGTCGGTGCGGCGTCACTCTATGACGTCTTGGCAGACCCAAAGACAAGTCAACAACTCATCAAGTCCCACGGAATCCCGGATCGCCCCCTCCACATCCTCTCCGTGGTCGCCGCAATGACAACTTCACCGACTCAATACCTCTCCGCCCTCTCACTAGCATCCTCTCCCTCTCCCTCCTCCCACCGGGCACCGCCTCCACCACAATCATCCAGTAAACCAACACCCTCGTACAGATCACTCTCGAAGTCCCACCGCCGCTTGGAATCCACGATCGCGGCGCTCCAATCCCAACTCAGCGAAGAGAAGCGCTCGGCTGCCTGGTGGAAGAACCGAGTCTGCGAACTGGATGCTCGATGTCGCAGCATCGATGTCGACCTTGCACGCGTGACGAGGGAGAAGCACGCACTCGACTGGACCGTCGCGAAGTTACAGATGCGGGAGACGCTTGTTCCGCGAATGATAGAAGCGGCAACACAGACGGATGAGGTGGAAGGGGGGAAGACTATGGCGGGGGGGCAGGAAGGGGAAAGTCAGAAGGATCTTGTTATCAAGACGCTCATTCAAATGGTTTGGGATAAGCAAGGAGAGTCGGTGCTGCTTTCTACTGGCGCGCCCGCTGGATGTGAATGCGATGCTGCGAGGGCCCTCAGGAATTTATTTCCGAGGCAGCCCAGTGCGGACTTAGCCGCGGCGGGCCCTTATGAGGGAGCACCGGAGGAGGAGACGGAAGAGGAGAGGGAGGGGGATGATCTACTAAAGAGGATACTCCGCAGACGCGGGAAGAGACCAGGCAGACCGCGGGCCACGGGGGCCCTAGAGAGGGGGGATGATGGAAGTGTACCGCTTGCGGAGACACCACCCCATCCCCATCCCCATCCCCATCCCCAGGCGTCTTCGGAAGCGCGGCGGGAGAAGAAGGAAGCGCTCAAGATGCGGGTTTGGGAAGCACGAGAGAGGGTGGACAGGCTTCGAAAGCAGAATGGTGTGTTGGAAGAGCTAATACGGGAAGGGTCGGAGGCTGACAGCAACCGTGCTGCAGATGAGTATGGGAATAGGTTTGGCTATGGTTAGTTATTTTTGTGACTTTTTTGGGTTAGGATTTGTTTTTTTAGTTTTTCTTACCTCTTGTTTTTATAGTTAGCGGGCGTTTTGCACAAGATTTGCCCCCCTCTGTATTTTATCTCACTTTTTGGATGAATTTAGCATGTTTTTTTCTTTTCTTTATTCTGGTGATGTATTGTTTGTGACCTTGGTGCATGATTGTTTCGAGGGAGTTTTTCTTATTCCTCAATATATGTAGCTCTCACCTATCCACAATCCCAGGTAAAGGGAGAAGAGAACGGTACTGGCATTTTTTTTTAAAAATCTTTTAATTGCTTAAGGGTACAACTGCTATATACAGCCACTAGGTTATGATAATTATAAAAGCTTAAAAGCATGTATTCCACCACTGTCCAATGCCCTTTGATCCTATAGTCTCTCTGGTATGGAATCAACCATATATCCTCTCCTAGCTTGAATAAAATCAAGAGAGGCAGGCAGAAAAGAAAAACACCATCTGTGAATTTCAATAACTAGGGAAAAACATATCTACAACATAACAAACCAAGTAACAAATCATGAATTTAAGTCCTTTGGCTAGTTTTCTTCTTTCCTCAATAATGTAACAATACCTATACAAGTAGGGATTTAGACAACAGGTATCAATAACTCTTATATAGCTCAGTAGTTATTAGGCTGATACCTATATCATATTGGTAGCTGAGTCCTTGACTCCTATCACATGATACCTACTTAAGCTATCTTGGAGCACTGGCAGATAGTTTTCTGGAATAATAAATGTTTAAGAGAGCATAATGGGTTTTCTTGAGTAAAGTAACAAAACTAGTAGGCAAGGAAACAAACAAATGGTAGCATGAAGAGCTTTGCTTCTTGGATCCTATCACCTCCTTATATAGTCACTCTTCATATAGCCCTAATCTTTGTGACTTATATCAATGAGTTCTGCATCACATATGACTCATAACTGTGAGTTACTGGCATGTAAAATCCTTCAGCCAATATAATATAATGATAATATTACAACTATGACTCGGAGTCAGATAAAACACTATAACGCATATCTGAACTATAATGCAAAAGATAGTATACCTATAACTTAAAACTCTAAGTCATGTAAAACCTTCTTCTTACTTATTCATAATTTGTAATACCTTTACAGTAGTCTGACACTGTCCTCTTGAAAATATTAAGTCCTGAGTCACTAGCAAGATTGTATACTGGCAGAGTAGTATCTGATTCTCTTACAACTATAAGCTATAGATGGTACTTATCTTAGGCAGAGAGCTTCTTTGGCATTCCTGCTTTCTGTTTATCATCAACATGATTTTCATCCTGCCAATAATGCTTTACAATATGCTATACTATTACCCCAGAGATGCTAATTTGCTTGTAGGATCATCCTAATATATGCATCTCTATTACAGAGGTTAGTTCTTTACAAGTAGATTTGTGTGTCTTCATATTTTAAGCTGAATTATTATGCAATGGAATCAGTAGACAAATACACAGATGATAGTAGTGGTGAAGGAGAAAGAAATTTTATTACTGTTCTCAGAAGTATGATAAGGCTTCCAGCTAACTACAGGACAGTAAACAACATGCCAGTGTAACTGCTCACTCCAACTTCAAGCCCTTTAGGCTTCTAAACCCTTGTCTCCAATAGTGTATACCACACCAAGAATCATCTCTCTTCAACACTCAACATTCCTACTTAGGAAGATGCACATTATCACATCATCCTGTGTTGCCCATATTACTCTCAACATGAATTGATTGCCGGTATTGTGAGCTTTGAGGAGGTTCTCATGTACTCGAGTAGTGTAGTGTTTTCTTTAGGTATGCCAAGACGCCTCGTTTCAATACTTTTTTTCAAGGGGCTGGTATCGTATCAGGCTAGATATTTTGACTGTTAGGAAATTCTCTACTCCTCAACTGGCAAACGGTTCTGCAATAGGTTCGCACTGGGGTTTGTACGTGCTCCTAGTAACAACTTTTCCATACATTCCGCATCCAAGGTTGACGTTTTCTAGGCACCTGTCAAAGCCTTCGTAAGTTGGTTTCAGCCACTTCGACCTTGGTGAGACTTCCCGGGAGGTCCTGTGTCATCAAGGCAACTTAACCTTCTGTGGTCTGTGGCGTTCAAGTACCCTGCCGGTTGGTATCGAATTTCTGGATAAGGCCACATACTCGTACAGAACCAAGGCCGGCGCACAGGGGATACCAGCAACTGGATAGGATGCTTCTGCTCCTGGTGGGAGCCTTTTCTTCGGTAATCCTGGACCGTTCGGTCAGTCATGTGCCAACTTCTTCCTTCTGTGTTGTGGGGGGCTTGCCTTGATATGTGGATTCATTCTTGAGATTGCACGAGCGTATTGTAGAAATTGCCTATTCTTATAAAGAGTTTTGCTGTTATGATATATCTAGATGGGCTTCTGTCCAGTCATAAGGTAGAGCAGTTTTACGATAACTCTTATTTCAATCCGACCCCCTCTACGCTATTCAAGTCGCCGTATTGGAGACGTTCCTTTTTTGTTAGCCTACCGCACCGCCAAAGAAAGGCAGACCTATTCCGGCAACCTGAGCACAATACGCTGAGTATCGCTCGGCGGTTAAAGGGGTTTCCCTCTCCCCCGAGCGGTTTCGGGGGAGTGGGGAGGGCTGCCGAGAACCAAGGAGATATGATACATACCGGTATTATATCCAACTCCCCCCGAGGGCAGCATCCCTGATCACAGTAAGCCCAAGCCACAAACGCAAGCATCAACCGAACGAATTAGAGTCCATGACAGCACACGGGCACCCTCTTGGAAAAATTAACATGAAGCTATTTTCGCGAGGATCGAGAAGTCTCTGCGAAGGCTCACGACAAGGCCAGGCCGAATGTTGACCGACAGACTGAAAGTCCAGCGGATCCTTGTGTTTGGTGGGGTTGGCCAGAGAGGATTTATCCTGGCTCACGTCAAACTTGCAACCGGCTCGTGTTTTAAGGTATGACCGAGTTTCGAGAGGAGCCTTATCTGGCGTGGCAGCTCTTATCTGCTTCACGCTGGGGCTTAAATTACTGTTCCAAGTAAAGTGAGAGTCAACCATCTACAAGAATCACATGTCAGCGGGAAGCCAAAGAGGATTGACCAATCGTTTCCGCCCCCGCCCCACGCTTCCACATGCTGGAGGAGAAGGGTGTGTTCCCTTTATCATGGCCGTGAATTCCCCGCTTCTTTTGACTCCGCTCGACGAAGGCCTAGCTCTATTGTGCGATATCATACCCGGTCGTTTACCCTAACGCTGATACAGTGCCGACAGATTGCCGTACTGTACCGTGCACCGAGAACTCACCACCACCAGTTTATTCGAGCCCTTATCCCTTGTGACGTCATTAGCAGCACTGGCATCAGAGCACCCCCCCCACCTGCCGAAACGGCCTCCCTCAAAACAGTCGCCCACCCACCTTCTATCCTTCCCCCTTTTCTCCTCCTCCTTTGATCTTGTCATAGTATCTTCCTCGAGAAAACGGGACACAATTCCCGTCAGCATCGACCCAGAACCCGATCTTCGGATTCTGATGGCACCACCACACGCAGAACCCTCTCCACCGCCGTCCCCTGGGCACGAAAAAGCCGCTCCAGCCTACGCCCGCTCCACGGGTACAATTGCACACTTGCGGCGATACCAGCTCACACAGGATGTTGGTACTCTCATGGAGAACTACGCTCCCAACACCCTCACAGCAACCGTAACAACCGGGGCCAATATCACAGCCTCTGTTGTGCCCACAAAGATCCTCTCAAAAGCGGACAGCATTGCGGACTCACTGCTTGCACAAGTCGATCAAACCTTCCCGTCCCTCCCGTCCATGCCACTTTCCCACCTCACCAACCCACCAAAACACCTTCTCGAGAAAACAATCATCAACCCAATCTCTGCCGTGAACACCGCGACAAAGGTTTATATTGATAGCACGTGCAACGCAATAGCTGAGTCTCGCAAGAAATTCCAGGGGAATATGTCAAGGATTTACAAAGAGAGAGTCTCCCCGCTATTGGCAAACTTGACGGATCCCTATTTGGAAACGATAAACATTAGGATATCCGAGTCTCTCGACTCTGCCGCGCCGGAGTGGTACAGCGAAGCCCCCACCGAGTCGCCCGACGCCACGGCCGAGCCAAAACCTGAATTCGAAAAAACATTTGAACTCTTTCAAACAGCCGTCTCGCACGCCCACCAGCACGGTTTCGTCCCATTCAGGGGCCAGGCGGCGCATACGAAGGAAGACGTTGCGGATGGCGGTAGCCAGTTGAAGGCGGAATTAAGGGTATCGCCAAGCAGGATCCGTGGCAGTGCGGAGCATCTCATGAAGGTCTATAGAGAAGAAGCTAGTTACGAGAAGGAGAACGGAGTGGCCGCGGGAATGAGGGTTGGACTAAAAGTCGGGGAAAGAGTTACCGGGGATATTGTGGGGGCCGGGATCATGGTGGTTGCGAAGGGTGTTGGCGCGGTATGGGGGGTTATAGATGTTGGGAGGCGGAAGTTGGGAATTTGATATCGGGTTGATCGTCACTAGTTAAATGCTGCGGGAGTCTCGCCTTTTTTGTTTGGTATGGGGGTTTTTTTTGTCCAACTATATGGGACTCGGGAGCTTTTGATTTTTGATCTTGATTTTAGTTTTCTACTAGCTTACGGTTTAATAGACCGAGGCCACTCAGAGTAGCACTAGTGGCCTTCTTGCTTACCTGCCAGACAAGGCGGGGTAACAAACATCTCGGCCTACTAGTTCGTCTCGCACCAATGATAGTCATCCTCAGCAACTGACAACTCGATACTACCAGACTGGGAAATTTCTGGGGGCTGTGAGCATTGCGAGAATAACTACCTCCCTCCATGGTGTTGGATGGGGTTACCGCCCCTTCCGGTGCGCCTCTAGGCTCCCGGTAATTTTCCTGCCTGTTCTCGCCCCTGGTGTTCACTACGAGTATTTTGCTACAATCCACCCGGAGGCAAATCGCCCATCCAAGACTCTGAGTTGGGGGCGTGGAGTATAAGTTATTGCGTTGGGCACGCCCGATCACCACCTCAAACACCCATTCCAACCCCGGTTACAGAATCTCGCCTCCCCGCAGGACTCTTCTCCCAAATCTTTTCTTTCATTCCCTTTTTGCCGGAGTATGGCGGTGGGATGGGAGGGAAGTTTGTAAGGTGGATTGGTCGACTGGCGAGTGCATATTGTATAAATCGTATGATAGAATTCCGAATGTGGAAGGTATTTGCATGAGCGGGCTGGCGACGGAAGTTGTACACTTTGGCTGGACGGGAGCCGCCAGTTATGATACTTTGGAAGTCTGTGAATAACGTGGACGAGTCCGGTGCGAAGGAGAGTTTCGATACTTTGCGCTGGGGGGGGGGATGTCCGACTGGAGGGGGGAATACCAGTATGCATGCCCTATGTACTGGTCAATTCGCATAGTATTGTCACTCTCGTGGCCTTAGCTACCCACCAAGACCTTAATTTGAAAACAAGGCAAGGAATAAATCCTCTTGACCTAGTAGCGTAGCACCAAACACCACCACTCCAGACTCCAGAGGGTGCTCAGCAGCGTCGGCAAGCAGGCAATCAAGGCTCCCGTACACTGGTCCTGCGAGTTATGATACATTCAACCGGCGCTTTTGCTCGGACGTCGACACCCATGCCTACTTCTTCCGCAAGCAGTGTTCCCAACCGTCCGGGGGGGCTGACGAGAGCCCTGGACGGAACGGGACAGCAATGTGCAGTCCGTCCCGTCCTACCCCAAAGCCGGACAGACTGGACGGTTGGGAACACTGTCCGCAAGCATGCGCGAGAGACTAAAGAACGTGGCGAATTCGTCAACGTCTATGATACCGGCGGCCCGGATCCGGGGAATTATGATGATTTGATTCCGGATATTGGTGATAAGGTTTTGCGAGATGAGGTTGCAGAGATGCTGGGCATACCATACCATGTGAAGGCGACTGCAGAAGATGCTGGTAGGGAGATTGAGACCGGCTATTGATACTTATACGGCTGAAATATTCGGACGATATTTCCAGTAGTTGGTGATAGTGCTTAGTCTCATTGGGAGTTTTTTTATATCGTGGACACTAGAGCTCCATTGACTTACCTTTCAGCCCAAGTGCTCCTCCCTGCCAAAAGGAGTCCCACTGCTAACTGCTCTGGACGAGTGACCTCTTTGGTATCGCGGAAGAACAAATGATGTTGGGTCGTGTCACGATTGCTGGATACCTCTACCTAGCCCATGGGTCGCCTCACCGCACATACCTTTCCGATCTTAACCTCCCCGGCGTGGGTTTTCCCCGCGTGAACAAGATTTCTCTGTGGAATGATTTTAAGAACCACCGGGCAACGTTGTTCTTCGGCCAGAAATGGGAGCCGACTGGGAGGCCAAGCTGTATTTCTGCGGGCAGGCGCGATAGGCGGTGGAGGTGGGTGGAGGAGTGATTTTTTTCGTTAGCAGTTCTTCTCTTTTTACAATTGGATCCTGTAATATCTACAAACACCCGATACTCAAGGTTGAGCACTGCCAGAGAGGTGATATTCGTCATCAGGCTATCCTTTTTGGTCACTACGGATTCTTTATCACTCTGAGTGGAATGTTTGTCTCTGGCATATGTATTTAAAAGCCAGGGTGAAAAGGAGGTGCCCGAGAGGGAGGAACACATACTGGTACATATTCCAGTCTCGAGATAGCAGTTTTCTTCTTTCCCTCCTTCAGACGGTTTACTCAGTTTGCCTCAGCTATCGGTCTGACTAGAAAATGGAATGTTGCGTTTGAGAGTAGCCTTTCCTATTCCCCTTTACGCAAAAGCTCAATACTCTCAAGAAGAAGAGCATCCCGGTTAGGTGATACACTGCCGGTGTTACAGATAGCAATTTGATCCATCCAGGTCACGACGGTCATCAGCAAAATCACATCAGCCATAAACACACAAAAACGACTCCAAAGAGGGGGAGACCCGATAGTGCGAGTGAGGAAAATGCCCAAAACAGGGGGAGTCGGACTGGAGAAGCCATAGGATCAGCGTATGAAATTATTTCCGCCATATTGGCGTGTGTGAAACCGGCCTCTCCGTCCCTCTCTTTTCTTTACTCGTATGATTGTCCCTAGGACTAAAGCTACTAAAGCCTTAGGCCGTTTTGAAATGGTTGCCCTCCCAGGAACGGACTCCTTCCGTTTTGCAACGGTTGCCCACAAAAGGCCTGTTTGGATCAGCAGTCAACTATGTGCTACCACGCGGTAATTGCGATTAGGCCCCACAGTCCCTCCCACTTCCACCATACTTTTTTTTTCTTTTATTTCAAAATCTATATTAAAGAAGCTAATATTGTGACATTGTGACAACAACAATCTTCAAAGCACCAAAAGCAGAACTATAATCTCCCTGAAAAACCAAAGATTTTTAAAATGGGCTCACAGCTATCTGGAGACCTACCGGTGAAGGAACTTCCCCTGTCCCTGTGAGTCACCAGTTTTTGAATATTAAATACAAGGTTTTAGCTAATTAATTTGTCGCTATATTGTTACTTGTAGACATCTTGGAGTTCTGCAAGAAATTGAAATAGAAATTTAATGTTATTTGAGAGGAGGAATTGCAGTTTCTTTTTTTGATTTTTTTGGTTTGTTAATATGTATATGATTAAGTGGTTTAGGGCAGAAATTGAGTACTGTATAATACAACTAGCTTCCATTTTGAAACAGTTGACTTGGTGTATTCCTGAACGGAAGAGATGATTTATTTTGTGGTCACCAAACACCAGTTCAGTTCCTTCTGTTTCAAAACAGAAGCCAACGGTCGTTTGTATGGGTGAAGGAAATGGCACGGTCTTGTCCAAACACACCCTTAGTACATCAGCAACACTGCTGTCGATGTCGTTGTGCCGGTTGTCAAACAAGAAATTTACGGACTTTGTGAACGATCCATACTTTGCGAATTGGCTAGTAACTTAGAAGAGCTCTAACTTGGCCTTACAATTCTAGGCGGGTGCATAATTAGTGAATTAGAGAGGGCCGAGTATCGGGTGGTTGCCCTACTTACCCTAACTCCACTCGGGTGATGCTTAGATCTAAAGACTCCAGAGCTTGGATTAGCTTAATGGTGCAATAACGTGGACATGGATGAGGGGGGATACCGGTACTTGTAGAACCCTCATTTCTTTTTAAGGAGAAAAAGAAAAGAAGGGGAAATGCCTCCTGTGACTTTTCGCCCACCACTTGCAGGAGTTGAGACTGTAGAGTCAATAGCTCCAGCGGAGTCGGCAATCGGAGAGGCACCACCATCTCACCCTGCCGCGCTGAATATTGACACCCGAGTTGCGTTATGACATGCCCGGGGCGCATCCTGCCTGCCATCCCATCCCATCCCTTCGGAGGGCGAGCCTCCTAACGGGTCCATCGTGCTTCTCGGTCAGGTGACATGATACTGCACCCACTCTTTTCTTTCTTTCACGCAAGAGCCAGCCCAGAGAACTTTGTAGGACGGCCCAACCCACAGACACGGCACGGCATTCGGGAAATACTTTTCTGTGAGCGCAGTCTCAGGAAAAAAGGCAGAACTGAATTCTGCAAATCGCACGAAAGGGTGCGCCGCCAAATTTTGGCGGCACGCAATAAGAAGTCCTCGGATACTACGAAGTGTTCCCACTGTTTTTATGATATGCGCGCTGCACGGTCCGTATGGTATCGTGAGGCTCCACCTTCGCCGGCTGAAAGACACCCCTCCCTCGAGGAAGGAAGGGAGGAAGGAAGGGAAAAGGTGACCAAAAATAGCTTAGAGCCGGCGGGTTGTCTCTGAATCGTTTCCACCTTCCTTGGGGATTTGAGAGGGGGTGGGGGGCATGTGCGGTACAGTGCTAATTCGGGATATCTGTTGCTGACGTCACGGGTTCGGTCTGTTTTGTGTGGTAGAGGTTAAGTTGGCTGCCGTGATGGGGGCGATACCGGAACCCGGGATATCGGACGGAGGTTAGTGTGTGAGAATAACAAAGGGGAGTGGGAAGGGTAAGAACTGCGGATGCCGGTTAGGATTTGAACCTAAATTGGGGGGGGGGAGGATTAGTAAAAGCCTTTGAGAGGGTATGATAAAAGAGAGTCTCGCATCAACAGGTGCAAAAAAGCGTGACGAGTGATGGCACATGATTTGCAAAAACCTGGGAATTCCATATTAATTGTCCCGGTCCGTTATTTTTTGTTTATTTTTTCTCTGGAGATTTTGGGTCGGTAGATTCTATGGACTTTATTTCACTGCTCTGGCTTTTTGCTAATTGGGGTGGAGTGGCTGGTGTCCGGGGTCTTGGGAAATCGTTCAACAGGGGCGGTTAGGCTGAAACCCACCCTCTTTAGCATACCTTAACCATGCGCGAGTATCGAATCAAGGTGGGCGTTGGGGATTTATATATTAGCCCTCTTCACCCCTTAACCCGTTCTCGTTCGCTTTGTGGCGTGCTATTATAGTAGAGCAAATTGGAATCCTCCCAGGATGTTTTCTCTTCTTTTGTATTTCCATTTCTTTTCCTGGTATTCCCCAAGTCGGTTACTGGCAGGCTAGAGATGATTGATGGGCGGAAGGGAGAAAGCTGTGCAGAAGGGGTCTAATCAGATCTTCCGGATGGTTGCACTTTCCCCTCCTATTGTGTGGTATGTGTAGGCTTTGGATAAGTTGCCCCGGCCTAAGTTTTTTTATTCTAGTTTTTTTATACCAATAGCTTCATCCACCCCCAACC